GATGTTTCTGTTTCTCTTGTTCAAAATAATTTGAATATTTTGAAGTTCTTCGGATGAGAGATAATCGTTCCAATCAATAAAATAAAAGCGTATTTAAAGGTGACAGTTCCTGCGATGCGTGCGTCGAATTAAACATTTTAAGCGCAGCTCAAAATCGACCGATTCTCTTCCCCTATTTCAAGCAATTTTAAATTTACTAAGAAAAGAAACTTTTGCAGCATAGTATACACGTTGACAATAACATGAACCAGAAATGAAAAGTTAATTATGCAAAAACACCATTTTGAAATTTTGATATAAAATTTCTGAAAAATCCTTCAAATTTTAACTCAAATTTCCTATAGTTTGTCTAGGTTGATTTCACTTACTGGACGTCTTGACTAAACAGGTATTATGATATCTTTACGTTGCAGCCTACAAGTTGGCACTTTTTGGCCAGACAGACACAATAAATTGAACTGTAGACGTCATTTCTTTATAAATTTAATTGCCTCATCAGTTTTCAAATTTTGCGCGGTGTCATTGCGCTAATGAGACTTTTCCTCTTACATATCCATGATGTGGGGCCATTCTGCGCCATGTACTAAAACTGACGGAATAATGGAGGTAAGCTTAAAACTCTTTTAGAGATTTTTGACAATGTAATATTCCAAACCTTCCTGAGGAGCCCGTCTCAGAACTTTCCAACTCTCCTCCTTGTCTCTTAGCGTTTTGGGGTTGGAATGTCTGAGGGTTATTGCCTCTTCAAAAACTGATGTGAGCCTTAGCTGGGAAATAGATGTGAATGTCTGGCTGTAGGCATGCAGGCTTCCTTAAATATAATTAGGCATGTAGGCTTGCATAGATATATTTTTTTCTTGGATCCCGCATAAAACTCTATCCTACCTGGAGTTCTGCGTGACGACGCAAGAGGTTGCCGAAGAGAATGACGAGAGATAGACAAATGACAACTAGATCCGAAGTGGCATAATTTGGCCACAATTGAGACGCTTTCATTTTTGCCCCAAATCAAGAATATTGTTACAATAATCATAACACAACCTCTAGAGCAAAGGAGGGGTTAAAAACTAGCCCAGAGGCGACGAAAAAGAAGGTGGGAGCATAAGGCGGAGGAGGGGAAATTTCTTTTTAAGGTTCACGAGACTGTGTCAGAATGCAGGAGCCCAAAACTAGGAGCCACTGAATATGCACTATACCCTTGAGTCAGGGCCCCTGCCTTGAGTCAACCTTTGCACGTATCTTTCTATTTTTTGGAACTAACCCTTCAGCAGGCGACGCACAATTACATTAATTAACGTCACTTTGCATCATTTTGGTACGTTTTGAGCAAGTTTGGAGCTATAAACTGAAAAGTTGCTTTTCAATCCAAAAACAGCTGATTTTCAGAATTTTGCCAAAAGGTGAAAATCAGCTCAGAATGGCTTTCTCGTGCCGTTTTCATCATTTTGGTATGTTTTGAGCAAGTTTGGAGCTATAAACTGAAAAGTTGCTATTCAGCTCAAAAACAGCTGATTTCAGAATTTGGCCAAAAGGTGAAACTCAGCTCAGAATGACTCTCTCATGCCTTTTTTATCAGAAAAAAAATGGAAACATAACATTTCTAAAATTTATTGAATCACGATCTGTTTCACATAAAGTCACGTAATGAATGAAAGCCATTCGACGCCATTCTTCATATGAACACTTGTCCCAACAGAGTTTAATCCCTCATTCTGTCACAAGCTTTAACTGCATCAGGGATGATGGATGCTTTACATAGAGAATCAGATTTACGAATGGTGGCGGATTGACATCAGGAATTAAAAGTGTTGCAAGGCAGGAGGGGGCTCGAGGAATTTTTAGTCGCTATGGGACGGATAGATCCGGAGGTGGGGATTCGAAATCGTGACTCTTTTCTAGACACTACTTTAATTTTACAGATTTAAATATCAAAAAATCGCGTTTGCGCGTATGCGCCAGCGAGTTCTTCATGGACGTCCAGTACAGTTCCGCTGCTTGTTCTCCCACAATATCGCGAAGGTGTCCGGTTTCCTCCGTGGGTTGTGCTACCACGTCGCTAGGAGACAGCATGATCTCATTTGGCATGAAACTCATGGTTACCCACTTACTGGCACGAACTCTTTTTCTCTTTTAACTGTTTGAGATTCCATCGATTTTTCGCCAGAAATTTCGAAAGTTCGTGGCAATGTCGTGATCAACACGATCGCGTGCGGATTCCTTCAGCTTGTATCCAAGGCGCAAGATGCTTGCTTGGAGAACGTCAAAGGTAGCGCTGGACTGTCCGCGGACCTCTCGCCAATGCCAAAGCTAAGTGCCTCCGTTTATTTGAAGACGAAATTTGCGATCACAGGAGTCAACATAAGGACGGACCATTTTAATCAGAAGTGGATGGATCGGGGATTCAAT